TACTTCGCCCCCAAGTACAATACCTGACCCGCAAATGTTCGACACTGGTTTTGCATAGTTTTCACCGTACTTTTCATGCATTATTTCCGTCACCTCAATCCTAATACAGATTTTTTCGTCAAACTTCCTTTGTATGGACTTGAGTCTCAAATCTTCCATTTTAAGCAGGCAATGTTAGATAGGGATATTATTTTACCTCAAATCAAAGTTCACGAATCATCAATGTGCATAAAAATCTTTCGAAGCGGTATTTTACACAGACAACGGCAGTTCGGCGGCCCACTGAGCATTCGGACCACTGATAATTCGTTCCTATGACCGTTCGTCCTTCTGAGTATTTACACCTTTGGCGCTTTGGCTCCAACTTGCACTTTACAAAAAATCAACACCGGTCTTTGCACAAATACAAATTACTTCATCGTTTTGCCTTTTTCAAATCACACACAACGTTTATAACCGTATTAGCGAGGTTTTCGTTTGATTTTCTTAAAGAGTGTGAACCATAATGACGCGARCTGTCAGACTGAAATTCAACGCACTCTTGGTTAAGGTCTTTTTTAAACATAAATTAAATAGAAATTTAGTCACTTTTAGGCCTTTTTCAGCCATGAAAGTTTCGCGATCCATAGATTTTTGATTAAATTTTCGTTTTCTATCTTTGCTTAGTCTCCGCATTTTGCCGTTTTTCACTTTTAGTGTGTCCAAACTTTGCTACAATGCTTTACACGGGTGTGAGAGAGATGGAGCTATCACGCTTTAGTAAGATATAATAACAAATTTCTCCGTTTACAATCATTTTTTGAGTTAACATGGCGGGCGGTGCGGACGTGCCCACATTAACTCTCGATGAAAGTGCGGGTAAATGCAAAAAGAAAGCAAATAATGGCCAAATTTGTAATATGGTATAGTGCTGTGGTATCAACATTGGTGTTTTTTCAGCTTCGTCTGAAACCGAAATTACATCTGATATGGACGGAGAATCAGCTGCCATCATCGCTTTCTTACGAAGCCCACCTTTTGCAAAAATTGTGAGCGGGATTATAAAGTCCGAAACTGTAGCCCTACACTCTGAAATTGGTAAGTTGCGTAATGAAGTAACTGTTCTCAGAGAATCTAACATTGAGCTGGTAAGTTTTTTAACTACTCGCCCAGTCAGTAACCCAGTTCATATCAAACGTAACGCTTCTTTTTCACGTAATGAATCTGGTCTAAACAAAAACTTCAAAACTCAAAATACGTCTAGAAAATTAATCATTTCTACAAAAAGTACGATAAGCGCGGCCAGCAGCAAAGAAGCGATAGTTTCTCCTGTGATAACGTCGCTTACAATAAACACAACGAATTCCAATTTTGATGTTCTCAACACAGCTTCGACTCATTCAAATGAAAATCTTTTTTAAAATGATTTTACAGAAGTAGTCAACAAAAAGCGTGCTCGAACCCCAAAAAACAATGCGACATCTACTCTACAGAAAAAACGATCTTATATGACAGGCATTGGAAAGTTGGATAATTCTAAATTTAAAGCAATTCCTCCTAAAGTCCCCACATATATGTAGGTAATTTAAGCGTCAGCACAAATGAAGAGGATCAAAATTTCCTCAGCAGGAGTTTAAACTTAATGACTTTTACTGTGCCTGCTTGAGTGAAAATTATAGTGTGGTTGTATCAACCGAAACATGGTTGTCATCTAATATCTCCAGCCTAGATGTATTTGATGATCGATACGAAGTTTTCAGATCTGACAGAAGTGAAGCCAACAGTACTAAATCATTTCGTGGTGGTGTGCTCATCGCAGCTAGGAAGGCTTTTAGTCCTTGTGAGGTGTTATGTGAGTGTTCCTGTATTGAGTTTTTGTAAAAATGTGTATAAACTCTCGTGAGGTAATTATCGGTGTTGTTTACTTGCCTCCTAACTGCGATGTAGCTAAATACTCTGTGATGACCTAAAAGGCCATTCCCTGCCCGCCGAAAGTGAATACCTGAGCGCCAAATTCAAATGTAAACAAAATGGCCGAAAAGTCGTGATCGTCATTGAAGTGGTTAGGAACCTACGTTGTGTTTGTCAAAAATTGGTGGACAAATTGTTCGAATGCGCATGCGTGATATTCAAAATGGAAAGGGCACGAATAAAACTCAAATTGGAAGGAAAGCATTTATTGTTTATTTCCTGCAGTCATGTAAAACAATAAAGAAAATCAAAGTGCAGTGTGAATGAAAAAAAAAACAAAAAACCAAACGGCAACAAAAAGTTATGAACAATCAAACAAACGACAAATCCTGAAAAGCAAAACATTAAAAACTACACAAAACAAAAAAAAACTGCAGGAAGGACCGGATAAAACCGTGTCCAAAAACAATGTTTATTAAATATTATCAAACAACAACATAACAAAAAACAATTACAACATGTAAGACAATTTACAAAGCGGTTTCGTGGGTTAACAATGGCTTAAATTCCTCGAAGTGTTAGGGACGCCGTAGACTAGATGCTCTATTAATTTATCAACTATTTGGAGTTGATTAAAACGATGGTAACATGGAATTTACTAACAACAACACAAAAACAAAACTGTAGACGAGTTTTACATTTAGATTATGAAAGAGTATTGGAGAACTAGGTTGTAACATTGGTTAATATGACAGAAATTCAGTTCAATGGTAATGAAGTTAGCGGGCACACAAAAATACGAAGTTTGAGAATATTAATCTTGGCTCTTGTCGTCGGTTCGACTAAGTTACAGCGCGGGTGATTTGAAAACTACAGCGCGGTTGGTTTTGTTTGAAACTACTGTGTGGAACACCTTGCCAAGTCATCCCCTCGGTTCGACGCCACCTTTTCTCTGCAAACTCCCGAGCTAAACACATAAACAACTTTCCCAAGTCATCCCCGAGGTACTGGTTTCCCGTGGGCAAGCTTTCTTTCTTTCGTACGCAAAAACTTCCGAGCGCATCCCATAAGCAACTTTCCCAAGTCATCCCCGAGGTACTGGTTTCCCGTGGGCACACTTTCTTTCTTTCGTACGCACAAAAAAACTCCCGAGTGAATCCCATAAGCAACTTTCCCAAGTCATCCCCGAGGTACTGGTTTCCCGTGGGCTCGCTTTCTTTCTTTCGTTGTTTGACAGAAACAAACCGACAACTTAAGTCACAAGAAATGATAATTTGGAAAATGTTCTGAGTTATTTACTGGAGTTTAAGTTTGTCTATTTCGATTTTCAAATGCACAGGCTATCGCAAACTAACAACAGTTTAAATTTACCAACACGTGAAAAACAAAACACGGACTCGCCTCGACGCCCCCACACAACAAATCTCAAAAATAATTGTTAATACAAATTTAGAAAACCCTAATGCACATGCATGAATACAAATTAACAAGAAACCTAAGCGGATTGGAGGTATTTTGATAGATACACCTTACAAACTCTATCATGGCGTCCATGACGTCATACCGCGTGGCGGTTWTTTTATGGCGGGAAATTTCCGACGGCATCTTAGTTACACGGCGTTTTTAATTAAAGAATTCAACCCTACCTTGACAACAATTTCCCTAACAGGCTAATGTCCTCGGAAATTAGGAAATAGCACGACTTTTCCAAAAAATGCGGTTCACACATGTGTTTTTCCACGTAATCGGTGCTTTAATTGTTTGACAAAACGGCGGGGTTTTACAAAAGCTTTGATTTTAAGTTAAAACAACAACAAAACACTTGAACAAACAAAAGGAAAACTTTCAAAAACAAATGAGAGGAACCCGACATGTCTGGATCGGTCACTTGTTGATTTGCAAGAGAGCGTTGGTTCGTTTCACTCCCGCATCCGCCCTTTTTTCTACCGTTAGGGTGACATCTATTTCCACCCCAGGAGGTGGCGCTAAATTCGAATTCAAATGCGGATATTTCAACTCTAGCACCCGGTATTAGAATATACTCAACCTTTTATATTAATAATAGACACTTCAAACGTAGCTCTTGGTGCAGTTTTGTCTCAAGAAAAATTTGGCGAAACAAACCAATCCCGTATGCCTCTAGAACAAAAAACAGAAAACAAATGAAACAGAACAAAAATATTCAACAATTGAAAAAGAACTTTTGGCAATAGTTTGGGCAACAAAATAATTCAGACCCTATCTTTACGGCAATTTATACTGATCATCGTCCCCTGCAATGGCTTTTTTCACTCAAAGAAACAAATTCAAAATTAGTAAGGTGGAGATTAAAATTGGAAGAATATGATTACCACATTGTTTATAAAAAAGGTAAATACAATACAAATGCTGATGCTTTATCGCGAATTCAAAGTTATCCCATGGAAATTGACGCTAGATCAACCATAGTACAACCCTATGACCAATTAGGACAGTTACTCAATGAAATAATTGAATCAGAAAACAGAGAATTACGAACCCCAGAATTTTTACAAACTGAAAAATTAAGTTCTCCGAATCGCGCTCAAACACCAGAAAATGTATTATCAGACCTTCCTATACCAAGTGCAAGATCAATTTCGAGTCATAATTCACAAATTCCAGGCCCTATAGGTACACAAAGACCAATTTCACCACAAGAATCATTATCAACTTTAACCTCAAATATTTCTCGGTACGAAAATTTACAAAATATAAAATCAATCGATATTTGTGAAGCAGCAATTGACAGAAAAGAAAGACAAGTATTTATAACAACAGGTTTCGAAAGTGCGCAAAAACCTAAAGTAACCGAAGAAAACGGAATGACAAAAATTAAAGCCCAAATTTCACAAGAAAATAATAAGGAAGAAATCAAAAATTTATTAATAGAATTTTGTGAACCCAAAAAAYATTATTATTGCTTTTTCGATAATGAAAGTATTATACAAAGATTTTTGTCGAACTTATTCAAACACATTTACTGCTGACGCCCCAATTTTAAAAAGATGTACCAAAAGAATTACATTAGTCACAAATAAAGATGAACAACAAGAATTAATTAAAAATCATCATGAAGGAAAAACTAATCATCGTGGAATTCGAGGAACTTACACTGAATTTCAAAGATTATATTATTGGCCAAAATTAAATCGAGATGTTTTAGATTTTATTAATAAATGCGAAATTTGCAAGAAAACAAAATATGAAAGACACCCCCCAGAAATATTTTTAAACATAACACAACAAATAGACTGTCCTTTTCAACAATTAAACATTGATTTATTCACAATTGAAGAAAAAACATTTTTAACAATAATTGACGCATTTACCAAATTAGCAAGCATAAGCATACCCCATTCTAAGTAAAAACGCGATTGACATTAAGTGTGTCCGCGACCAACGATTCGAGACGTTGGTATATTGAAAACAAGATTACTCTCTTAATATGCAACAGAATTTCATGTATTATACATCAAAATAAAGGTTTTTTAAATATACAGGCCGATACGTTGAGATTTTTTTAAAAAAATTTAATGCTTTTAAAAAAAGAACAAAAATGCATAAATGGTGAACTTGAAAACAACTTTACTCAGTCATTTTTCAAGTAATCAATTTTGTTTTTTGTAAGATAATTTAAAAGAATATTCTATAGGCCGATACGTTGGCCTTTTTTTAAAAAAGTGTTTAATTTTTGAGATATTGTGATTGATGTAAAAGTCACGATATTTAAGGTAGACCTAAAGATTCGTTTTAGGGTTTTGGTATTTATTACAAAATATTAATTCTTAACTAATTCAACAAACACCATGTAATAAAACGCTGTTGTTTTTAAATTATTAATAAATATATTTTGCCCTAAAATGCCTCCTAGTTCATTGCTTTTACCACTGGAGGCGTTGCCAGTGCCGCTTCTGTCGAGGATCGAGGGTCTCTACCTACCCTCGTCCCGACCCAAGCAAAGGACGGATTTCGGTCAGCTTTATCATGTAATTAGCATAATACTAATCAGTAATCAGTTAATATTATTACAGAACTAGAAGCAGAAACGTTGAAAAAACAAACAAATTTTGTAGATAATCAAATATTATTAGGTAATAGAAAATTAAAAAAATGGGATTTGGGCTAGAATTTATCTTGTACCTGCATACATAATGTAGGTAAGTTTTGTAAATAGACACAACGGCTTGTTTTTTGAATTTGAAGTTTACCTGACCATGTTTTTTTCCGAAAAAATGTGTGCTTTGTAGGCATGTAAGATTATTTATTTTTTATAAGAGTTTTAATAAATGGCAACAATACTCAGAAAAAATAATTTATTATACAATATTATCAATAATGGAATAACTATGACAAATAAAAATCTCTAATGGGTAGATTGCGTTTTCGCCGCGAATCAAGTATTTCAGGGAGAAGAGCCCCGTAATAAAATTTTGTCAGTTTCTCCACCATTTTCTTACATAATTCATCGTCCCTATAAATTACTTCAAAACTTAGACCTTTTTCAGTGTATATAACAAAGTAAGCTTTATTATTAATATTGGAAACTAGCATTTGACCTTGAACTTGGTACATATATGCATGATTTTTCTTCAACTCAATTTTGCCATTACCAGATTGGCAAATTTAATCCTTTTTGATCGTACGGCTTCTTCTGGGGTGACATTTCTTGATGTGGCTGGACATTTAATTTCCACAAGTGCAGAGTCGTCTTCTAAAACAATTATTAGACCAACTTCTTTTGTTTTCAGTAAGGTAACTTTTTCAAAAGCAGTAACTGGTTGTGGTTGCGTCCTGCTCGCCTGCTGCAACTTTGTTTTCTCGATCTTTAGACGTACAATAGTACGTGTTGATGCACATCCGATGATTGCCAAATACATGCCAGACACCATTGGTAATATTTTCTTGCAACTTAGTCACTCTTTCACTGAATGAACTGGAGTTATCTTTTGTCCAATGGGCAATGACAGAAGTAACAGCGGTACGTAGTTTTTCAATTTTAGCACCTAAAATTTTTCTTTGTTCAATGTCAAAAGCAGTATTATTTTTCAAATCATTTAATTTTGTAACGTAATTCCTGATTACGTGATTTCGGCATTCTAATTTTTCAATGTGAAACTGGGGACCATACGGTGCAGATTGTAGAAGATTTCTGTAAACACTACTATCCCCGTCTCCAATTAATTTTCCATATATCAATCCGTACATCTCAAATGATTTGCGAAATCCTTCCAAAATCACATCAGCTTCCATRKCAGTGGATGGTCCCTTATAATTTTTGAAACACAAATGATGAACTGTGGAGTTTGTTTTCCCGACACTCTCTCTATCACATGTTGTGCAATACTTATTTCTCACTCCCAAAAACAAATTTTTTTTAGTTTTGGCACCGRTGATGGAAGCAACTCCCGACGCAGCATTATAGTTCGTACGGTACGATCGTTTGGACCATGCTCCATCAGCAATTACTGCTATAATCGGAGTCCCATTTTCATCAACGTCCCCASATTCGATGGYCAAWTGTTTTTCTTCTGTAGCTGCAGCTTGCATTTTTTCCCATAAGCTTTCTTGAATTTTGTTAGAGATAGTTCGAGAATGAGCAGTAAATGTCTTGTGGCACATGAAAGGAATATCGATAGCAGAAAATAACTCTTCAGACTGGGAATATCCAATCCCAATTGAAATACCACCGGAAACAGCTAGTGAGTTTAGACAACCATCTTCCTTATCGGTAGTAACTTTTTCATTTTTTAAACACATCCGGCATTTCAAATAAAAAGTGCTCACTAAACCATTATTTTTTTCATTGACCAACTCTAAATCTTTAAATGAGCAACTGTATGTTGTCTGAAATTAAAAATTAAATTAAATATAAATTATAATCGATATTAACATTTATGTCTTTAGACTATATTCAATAATAATATCCCGAGCGCATGCCAAATTGTCGATCGTGTTGAAGTGCACCAGTTATACCTACCTGTGAGCCCTGCTTTCTAATTAGGAAATAGGTATCAGGTACAGTTCATGGAATGGTTAAATTATCGACTTCTTTTGAAGTTATAAAATTCAAGACAATGTTTAACTTTCTAAGAAGTTTTTGGAGCCACTTCTACAAATTGAACGGATTAAAATGTTAGTTAAATGTCCTTTTACAATTTATTACCCTTACTAACCCAACCTCTGAACGCAGGTGAAGACTGAGTTTGGACTCTGTCAGGGTGTATTGCTGGTTGCTTTTGGAAATGAATAATAAGTGCCGAAAACCGAGTTGCTCGCTCACTCCCGGACAGCCTTAATTGTTTACTTTTCTCATTACGATATTCCAGAAAAAATAACATTTGATTCAGGCACTGAATTTCAAAACGACACAGTACAAAAACTTTTAGAAACACACAAAATTAAAGTACATTTTACAAATCAAAGACATCCACAATCAAATGATTTTATTGAACGATTTCACTCAACCATCACAGAACATTATAGAATTTTAAAACAAAATTTTAAAGACCCTCCAGACAAAACAATGATTTATGCAGTAATAGGTTACAATAATTCTATTCATTCAGTAACAAATTTAACTTTTAGAATTACTTTTTGGACACACCAGATATACCAGATATTTTCGACAATACTATGTCGATCATAAAAACCGAATGAAAATAATTTACAATGAAATGACAAAACTAATGCAAATGCAAAAAAAAGAATAATAAATAAAAGAAATAAACAATCACAACAAACAACTTTTAAAATTGGTCAAACAGTTTACGAAAGAAATCCTTTAGCTGATCGAAATAAGTCAAAAGATCGATATTTAGGACCATACAAAACTGAATCAATCAACAATGATAACACTTGCATTCTGAAAAATCAAAATAACCAAACAAGAAGAGTACATCTAGATAATTTAAGAACTACTGTTGCAGGATTATCCTCTGGATCCACATCTCCCGATCCTTCCAGTCCCCAACAGTGACAAAAATAATTGAAAATGCTGAACTTTTACCCCAAAAGTTAGATATAGCGAGAAATATTATAGATCATTGGACCTTTATAAGAATATTTGAGATTGATAATTTAATATCAGAATATAATAGAAACAAAGTATATAACCATCTTTTAAACGTAGAAATAGATTCAATGATAATAACTCAGAAGATTTTCAGAAAGATTTACTCCATTATAAATGAGTTATTTATTCAAATAGATAAACGAATTTTACAATTATTTCCAAACACAATTTCAGAAAATAAAAGAACAAAAAGAGGAATACTTAATATTTTTGGAAGTGCGATTAAAGTAATAACAGGAAATTTAGATAAGAAATTTAGATAATGAAGACGGCAAAAGATATGAAGAAATTATTTCAAAATTACAATCAAGACAAAATAAACAAAAACTATTACTTGATGAACAATTTTCTTTAACAACTGCAATTGAAAGATTTACCACCACAATTTCCAAATTAACAAATAATCAATTACTTTTTGCTAAAAGAATTTCTGACATTGAAAAAAATAGTAAACAAAACAGTCACCGCCGGATTTGATCTTTATTTTCTTGTACATTTACACAGTATTTTTATTCAAATAATTTCATTTTCTGAAGAAATGTTAAGAATTTTGGAAAATCTAGAAACTGCAAGCAGCATCGATAAACTTAATACGCTGCATAATTCGATAATAAATCATGAAGACTTTTTCAATGAGTTAAAAATAGATAAAGAGAATCTTAATAATAAAAATTTGGCTTTTGAACCTAAAAAGGAGAACGTCTTACTATATGAGAGAATAATTCAAATTAAAGCTTATGAAAAATATAGAAAATTCTCATTTATTTTCGAGGTTCCTCTAACTGAATCCGAAAATTATTATTGTTACCATTTGTACCCATTTCCAATCTGCTCCACTCTAAAATTTTGTCAAGTTATAATTACGTCACACAAATATCTTTTCCTTAAGGAGTATGATTTCACCTTAACCCACGAAAAATGTAATGAAGCAAAACCAGACGATTATATTTGCAATCTACCACAAAAAACAAGATTATCTCAAGATGCACCATGCGAAGTTCAACTTCTGAAATTTACCCAAAATTATCAAGACTGTCAAGTCCTGCAAATTCAAGTTAATGACGTACAAATTAAAGAAAATTAACAAAAATCAATGTATAGGAATTTTTCCAACTGAACAACCAGTAACTTCAATTTGTAATCAAGATGAAGAATCTCAATCAATCAAAGGAAGTTATGCAATCGTCGTTCCTGTTGGATGTAAACTTCGAATCAACTGGACAACCCTTCAAGCTTATCAAGACCCAGTTTATCAGAAGATATCCGTTCAACTTCCAAAAATCGAAACCTCAAAATAAATTACCAAAAAAAAGATTTTCATCTAGAACCTCTCCAAGTTGAAAAAATCGACTTGAGCAATCTTCAATCCGTTTATCATCAAATGCAACAAATCCAACAAACCTTCGAAAAGAAGATAGTGAAACAATTTCCTATAATACAAGCATTTAGACAATTTTAATTTATGTTTTGTTAATAGCTACCGCTCTTTATTTACTTTGGACAAAATGTCTTTATCCCAAAATTATGATGAGAAGAATCAAGGAACAAGCAGCAAATCAGCCCATACCATAAGCCATTCCAATTGAAAATTTGGTGTCGCAAACCATCCTCAAATTTTCAATCTAACGGGGGAGGTGTTATGTTATTTCCATCCACGTGCCTATGGATCAGCATAGAAGCTTCCATAAGGAGACGTAAACATCACGCGCTTTACCATCATCAAAAACCTTGCAGCCGTTGCAATAATTTATATTATAAATTCAGGATAGAACATACGCATTGTAGTCTGTAGTCTGAATTCAAATCTGAAATTAAAGTCTGGTTTTGTTAAGTTCAAGTTTTAAGTTTAGTTTTGTTAATTAAGTCTTAGTCTCTCGAGCTATTCATTATTGTAAAATGAATTAATTGAAATAATTGTAAAAGTGAAGTTATAATAATAAAATAAGCGTAATAATAATTTTTAAATGGAAATAAAAATATTTTTTTAAAAATCGAGTTGTTAACGCTCCCTAACTTGCTAACTCGCCTAGCTTTGAGTTCTGCATTTTTTTTTAATAATATTAGGTAACTCAATCTAAAATTAAAAAAAATCATGACCATTATTTATTTTGATCATTTTGAAATCAAATAGTTGTTTGGTGTTAATATCAATGGATTCAATTAAAAATTTACAAAAGTTTCTTAATTTTACGGCCGTATCGAATCGTTATTAAAATCTTATTAGGAAGAAAATTTTTAGATGTGGTCAAAGTAGAGCATCGATTTATTATTATCTGTATAAGGTTTACCTAGTATTTGTGGGGCAGCGGGTCTATACATAATACAAAATGGTCATAATTTAAGTATAAAAAAATAAAAGAAGCAAATTACTTACTTTATTTTAGCATGTAGAGTAATAATAAATTATTGTAATATAGGACCTCTAATTTTTCATGGCACTCGCACCCTCACACGTTCACACTTACCAAGGCTTTGATTAAAATTACCAAACTGTGTTGAGAAGTTACTAATAATAAGATCCAAATACCAAATACACTTAAAATTGCCCATCGAAGACAAAATAAACATTGGATAAGAGGTAGTGCAACGTAAGGAAGCAAAAGAAATCTGAGAATTCACGAATATGATGTAAACGATAATGTTCGTATGATATTTTGAGTTTATTTTTAAATAGTGTTTTCTTTAGTGTTTTTTTATAACTGTGTTATTTAATTTGTAAGAATTTGGGCATTTTTTATTTATTTCTTTTGTTTATTTTATTTTATTCCTGTTTTTTAATAATTTTGTGAATCTTTGATTTACCTGAACATTTTTATTTATATCCTATTCAAAAAATTTAATGCCCCTAAAGTTGTGATGCTCGTATGCCATGCAGACTTCGCACACTGACACGGTGTATTCCTGATTCATTTAATATTAGTTCAATTAATTTGTGGGTTGTTGTTTTTTTGGATTGTTTTGTTGAGGTTTGTTGTTTGCTTGGAGCGACTTGAAAGCAAGTGAACATAAATTCTGTTTATATTTTTAGTGTGCGACTCTTGCTTTATATCATCTACAATTAAAATTTAACTAGTGCCACAATTTAATTATAGTTAAAGTTTACTTCCTACTGGTGACGACTGGTAACTTAGCAGAAGTGTGGCAGGAAAGCAGGGATCCGTTGTCCTTACGGCAAATTCACTAACACGCAAACACAATTACATGAACAAAAGATGCTGAATTGTCCCTGGACTTTCGGTGAGTACGTGGGCTTTTTTATTTTGGTAAATTACAGTTGAAGTCATTTGCGGCGTACAGATTTTCGTTGAAATATGGCAGATTTTTTCTCAAAGTGTCATTAGGGCATTAATGATCTCCTCATTTATTCGTACACCAAAAATAAAATATGTATTGACTAATGACATACAATTACGGTTTATTTAATAAAAACATTTCGATGGCTCGAGATACGCTCGCAAATTACAAATTAATGCTTTGATCCACCGACATTTACAACATTAAGCAATTATTGTTGCATGTAAATGCGCTCTAAATCTATCTTTATACCACCTATCGTCTTGATACAACGTTACATTGAAGTTAGAACATTATGTCTGTAAATTTCATCAATAGTATAAATGTTATTGAGTTGTAGCCCTCGCTACTGCTTTCAGTTTAAATTATATTAACACCGCTATCATTAAATCGTTGTTTTCATCGTTAATCAACCCTCTGACACAAAGTACCCTAATATCAAAACTCCATCCCTTAATTACCTCCTTTCTAAAGCTTTAAATTCACCCTCAGATTATCATTCTTACCAAATATGAAATATATCCTCATACCTGTTTACGTGATATTTTACAAAAAGACAATTATTATCAATAGTGCATTTAGTTGTAATACCTTACAAAACTGGGTTTTGCATAAAACGCATTAAACTATTAACTACAATATTTCTGCAGACTGCTGCATTGGAAATTCCAAATTCTAGCCACAGAGTAGCAAAAATGCTATCAATTTGCCAAAAAAACTAATAAATTCTAAATAAAACGTGGAATCATTTTCGATTTCCTTTGATCTAATTATAATTTGGAGGAGTTTTTCACTTTTTGATAGACGAAGTTTTGATGTGATATTGTCGGGATTTTTCCCATTTAAGTTGAGAAGTTTGCATCATATTTTAATCCAAAAAGTTTACATTATGATTGCGGAGTTTTCTGAATATGGGCGTGAAATTCTGTCATCAAACGTAACAGTCTTGAACTTTTCCAAGAAAGTAAGAAAATAAAAAATAATTAAAATATCGTCTTTTACGTAAAGAAATTAATAATTAGATCTTATCAGTAAGTCGCGTCATGTGTGTGTTTGTTCAATTTTTTTTGCAAGGTTTCTTTTAGATTTTTGCTTATTGAGATGTTATTAAGTGTTTTATCTATTGTTGAGTTTATTCCAGAAGGTTATCAACAACGAATCTAGAAAAGATACGCACAGGAAATAAGCGCACAGAAAAAAAGCGCACACGGTGAAAAGCGCACACGGAAAAAAGCGCACACGGAAAAAACTGCACATGGAAAAAAGCGCACAAAGATAAAATTTCACACGAAAAAGTACATACATTGAAAACTGCTGTCGCTGAATAAACAGTTCAGTTAAACTAAAACATCATAATTTAAAATATTCGATGCTAAAAGCTCAAGGCTCACGGCTTTAATTTGTTCTCGTGATTTATTTTCTTTAGTTATAACTCACATGTACCATAATTAATAACATCATTTGATTATAAACTATAAAAAATACTTTACTTCTTAAACTTAAATCATTTTTGTAATAGTTATCTATTTAGTATATAAGTGTAATAATAATACGCACGTATGTGACTCGGCCCTGCCAGTGGCGTACTGAGCTCTTAACGGGCCATTTATTTACTAAATAGTTATAATGGAACATGCTAAAAAATGATAATGGTTGATCCAACTGTTTTTGAACGAATGCAAGGCAGTAGCAGTAATCAACCAAATATCATAAATGAAAAGAATATGATCATGAAATGAAAAGAATTATAGAATTGAAACACATCGATGACAACGAAAAATGGACGTTGTACAATCGAGTGCTTCAATAATATTTAAAAGTAATAAATCGGGCTCGTGAACCTATTACAATACCAATGGTTGAAAGTAAAGAAAATCATGATGATTAACAACAACATTTAACAACAACATTTTTTTAAATTTTCTTCCAAAAACTGTACGAGCTAAGGCGTGTGTTTTATTAGATTTTATACTAAGCAATGGTGTTACGTGGAATGAACTTGGAAATGATATTATGACGGTAACACAATTCCTGATTCAAACATATTTGATTTAATCAACGACATTATGAAACGTAGTAGTAGTAGATCGTCTGTTGAACCGACCGGTTGGAAAAATTTTACAGAAATTTTGTCTAAAATAAACGTCCCTCGCACGTTTGTTGTTAATTCAAATCGGATGCAGTATATAAACGAGGTCTTATCTAAAAAAAAGCAAGAAATCAAATCAAAAAAACAAAAACGAAAAAAAACAGCTTGGTCTCGCTATAAAAGTTAAAGGTGTAGGGATGAATTAAAGAAAAGATATTTTTCACCCAGCGATCCGCTCGGTTTCTCTGGAGTAAATAAATTGGTCAAGTCTACAAATATTCCCAAAAAAGAAATTCAAAAATGGTTGGAAGGTGTTGACTCTTTTACTTTGCATAAGCAAGTTAGACGTAGATTTCCTAAAAATAGTTATCACGTAACAAACATCGATGATCTTTTTCAAGCTGACTTTACCGATATGAGGAACATTGCAAAATACAATCCAGGTGTAAATTATCTTTTAATAGTAATCGATGTCTTTTCCAAGTACGCATGGGTGCAGACGTAGCAAATGCCTTTAAAGAAATATTTGAAAAGCGAGTACCAATCAATCTACAAACCGATAAGGGAAAGGAGTTTCTCGCTAAAAATGTTCAAAACTTGTTAAAACAATACGATATAAATTATTATGTAACAAATAATCCAGATGTTAAAGCAGTCGTAGTTGAAAAATTTAATAAAACTTTAAAAACGAAATAAATATTTACAGACTCAAATAATCTAGAATACCAAAATGTATTGCCCGATCTTGTGAAGGCGTACAATAATTCATATCATCGTACTAAACTACTCAAAATGAATAAGGATACACTTGTAGATTGCATTGGCGTTTTGTTTAGATGTTATGGATTTAAACAAAATATTGGAATTTAGTTTTAATTAAAAGTACTCTTTAAGTGGGTAACATTGCAAATCGTGTTGGAAACGGTTTTTTAGAAAAAAAATAAAATTAAAWCTTTTAACCTCAAATTGTTTAATATAAAAAAATCAAATTTATTGAAAACAAAAACATTTAATAATGGGTATGACCTCCTCTAACTCGAATAACTTCTGCGCAACGACGTGGCATGCTCTCTATTAAATTTCTAATTCGTTCTTGAGGCAGCTGTCCCCATTCCTGGATATGAAGTTCTTCGACCTGTTGGAGATTCTGTATGGGTTGGTGTTCCCGTATTCGCCTTTTCAATTCGTCCCATAGATGTTCTATCGGATT